TTCCAAATGCTATTCCAACATTTCCTCTATTTTATAAATACCTCAAATTGTTAATTGATTGTTACTCTTTTTTCAAATCCTTTTAAGGTTTTAATAACTACAATGCACTAGGTGACCTGCTTGCATTACTTTTAAATGCCATCTATAAAATATAAAAGATACACCTAAAATGATTGAAATTGGAACAAATGCCCTGATTTTTGAAAACCAGAATGGCCTTAATTAAATAAATGACCTAGCCTTCTGTGGCTACAACTGATAATAGTCCATTAACAGTAATTGGAATTGTGACAATTTATTCACATCAAGTGCACTGTTTCAAACTTTAAAATTACTAAATCATGATAAAAGAGAAGGACTTGTTTTAACTCTCCGAAAGTATTTAAAACCTGAAACTCACCAGTCTTTAACTGCAGAATACTCTAAATCTTTACTGTTTTACAAATCAAAGAAATGTTAAAACAGAAAACAATGGATTTTAACACTATAACAACTTTACATATCACAGAATGGTTTTGACATAAAACCAGTTAAATTCAGTCTCTAGTCATTATTAGTTTCAATCACAGAATAACTATAAAGATACTAAACATTCTAAATATTAGATTTCAAAATATGTTGGATACCTTGAGTCATCTTTAATACAGTGACTTCAGTTACTTTATTTTCACACAAATGCTGAATATCCTATCTACAAATCCCACAGGATCTTCTAGACAGTCTTAAAATGGAAATGCTACAAGGACATCATCATAACATCAACAATACTGTCAATATTCTGGGGGGGAACCCATCACCTCTAATTATATCTGTGATGGCCTCCAGACAAAGCACTGGTTCATATATATCAATCTACATTCTTCCCAAGACCTAACTTAATGAGGCCCTGAGATGTAGCAAGCATTTGCTACATCTGAATGTAGCTGAATGAATATTAGCTGAATGAATAAATGGGCCACTAAAGACATTTTATACAAAACATTTGAATTAGATTTTTGGTTTTACTCAGGATTCCTAAGAAATAAATGTGCACCAAATATACAACAGATATCCCAAAGCATAAGCAATGTTCTCATTTAGCAACTCTCAAACTTACTTTATGACCTCAAAGTACTAACATTATCCATGAGTTAAATTCTCTGAACTGTTATGTCTAACTCTATTCTTTCATGTGCTACTCAGAAAAGGATATCAGAATGCAAATGAGAGGTACTTACATAAGGAGGGCATTAAGATAATAAATGCATATGCACATCATTATATATATTACATATGTTTTACATGTATTACAAATACAATACAGATCTATTACATACACATTATATATATTACATTTACAATATGCCTCTGTGTATGTGTGTGTGAGTATGTATAGCGGCCAACAGGTGGTACAATATAAATTTAGGTGACCTACTTATCCAAGGTTGGTTTGCGGACAATCTATGGTACGGAATACACACTTCCTATATCCTAATAGGCCCATCAATATTCTCTCTTCAACAATACCTTTTCACCCACCTATCACAGGTCTTGCTCGTTTTCACATGCCAGTCAACAATGTACTTCTAAGATGTAGTTTAATATTTTTGAAGTGATGAGCAAGGTAGAAAGCAACGCTCCACAACTGGAACACAATTCTCTCACCATTTTAAGGATGTGACTCTCTAGATTCAGAACACAGCGATCTTGATTCAGATTTCCCTAGAAGCTGATTTTGATATAGGACTGAAGCATAAGTAGCTTATTTGGGAATGATCCTAGAAAATACCAGTAGGGGAGGGGAGGGTCAGAAGCCAGTAAAGCTTGCAGTAGTAAGCCCGTTATCACTGTGGGCAACTAGAGCTCAGTCCCCTAGGACACAATATAGAACATGCTTCAGAATTATCCCAGCCAGGAAGCACAGGGAGGCTAAGGTATTTATTCGACAACCCCCTATTTACTCAGTGGCACTCTGGTTTGTTCCCCAAGCAGGTTTAGTGTGCTCCTAAGGTCGGTAGGGGGTTGGGGAAAACCTCAGGCAGGTCTTCATAGAAAGTGACCTAGAGAATATGGGCAGAGCACTAAATGTATCTGTTGGTGGAAATGATCTACCTATTCCTATATGAAAGAGTGCTTCCTCCTCAACTCTATAGGAATTGAGTCCAAGAAGAAAACTGAGTAGAATCAGATTACTACTAAGGCATAATTGCAAAAAACGAATTTGTGACATATTAAAGACAAAAGAGGGCCGGGCGTGGTGGCTCACGCCTGTAATCCTAGCACTCTGGGAGGCCGAGGCGGGCGGATTGTTTGAGCTCAGGAGTTCGAAACCAGCCTGAGCAAGAGCGAGACCCCGTCTCTACTAAAAATAGAAAGAAATTAATTGGACAACTAAAAATATATAGAAAAAATTAGCCAGGCATGGTGGCGCATGCCTGTAGTCCCAGCTACTCGGGAGGCTGAGGCAGGAGGATCGCATGAGCCCAGGAGTTTGAGGTTGCTGTGAGCTAGGCTGACGCCACGGCACTGTAGCCCGGGCAACACAGTGAGACTCTGTCAAAAAAAAAAAAAAAAAAAAAGACAAAAGAGATGACTTTACTTAACTTAGTTTAGGATTTTGAAAAGAAAAAAAAAAAAGAATTGCAAAGTGCAAATCAGAAGTGAGGAAGGGAAATAACACTGAATGAGCACCTAAACAGTGCTAGGAGCTGTAAAATTATTCCTCTAAATTCAAATGAATTAAGTGGAAAGAACTTAAGAATTTCTTGAGGGATTTAAGTCACAAAGAACTGAACTCAAAAGTGATCTTTACACTGATAAGATATATTACCCGGGACAAGTATTCAATTTCCCAGAATCTTAGTTTCCTATCCCTAAAATAATTACCTACTATTCAGGGATTGTATGAGGATTGATTGAGATAACATATAGCACTTGGCAGAGCTTAGTGCCAACTAACTGTTAGTCCTGTACCTCCCCATCCTCCTCCTTGTCACAATTTTATAAGGTAGATAATATTATTCCCACTGAAAACATAAAATTACTGAATCTCATAATGGCTGAATGATTCTCCCAAGGTCACTCAGCTAGTGAGGAAATAATCAAAGGACTGAAATGTGGGTCTCTCTGATCCCAAGGATCTTGCCTTCAAAGATTAGTAACAAATGGAACCAAAATCAAATATTAATTTTTCATAAAGCCACAAAATTAGACAAATATTTTAAAATGATTAAATGATTTTTAAATATTTAATAGCCTATTTTCAGTTTTTAAGTTAAAGTTGGGCAAGCATAAACTTTTAATATAATAAAAATTTTAAATGATTGTGCAAAACTTTTTAAATATAGCAGTGATTCATTTAGTTAGTATTCAACCAGCCATAATTCTTAATTAGTAAAATATTTCTGCAGCATCCTTAGAAAAATAAGGGCAACTACCTGAACAATTAACATCTTGGATATGATATTTTAAAAAAACCAAACAACACTATTACCACCATATCCAAAGTATGTCCTCTATGTATTCGACCCGTCTCACACTTTTTAAGATGAAGAATTCTATTCTATATGATGATCCTGAGGTCCTGAAATAAATATAAATTCAATCGCTATGAACACTATGCTATACTTGATAAGTCATTTAACTAGGCTAATACAGTTTATCTGAATGTCAATGCAAATTTGCTTACCTATTCTTTTTTTACCTTCAATTAACCAGAACACCTTACTTTATAAGCATACTGATTAATTGGTATTAGTTCTTTAAATTCTTAACCAATATATATGGTTTTACCTTAAAAAGAGATTGAATCAAAATATTATCCCCTACAAAATATCCATATCCCTCTAAAATATTAATATGAGATCAAAGAAATCCACAATTGATGCTCAAGATAAAAATCCTCGGTGTGTAAGGACAGGAGTTGGTATTGGGAGCTGAGAAGGTGAGGAAAAGAAACAGCAGGTATTGCCCAGTAGTGAATGGGGACAGGATTTTCGAATGGACCAATAATGGATCTTTTATTTAATTAAAATAGAACATCAATACCAAACTGAACTTCAAGGAAGCATGTCATTGAGTTGAAAGCCCCGTTAGCATACATATATTATTCAAAAACAAGGAAATGTGGCATGTGATACATGAAATCACTATTCCAGAAAATATCAAATTCACTAAAACACAAAATGTGTTTTTTTTAAATAATGAAACAGAAATAGAGGAAATTTCAGAAGTTTATGCAAAACAGTGATGGTATAGATAAAACACATGAGCAATATTTTGCTAATAATAGTCTAGTTTTGAAACTTAGTTTCAATTTTGAGACATATACTGTTTAAATTAAATATATACTAATGATGGAAAGGTTATAGCATGCTATACAAACACCATTATTTAACAACACTCGCAGTTACCTGCTCAAAGTGAGTATTTTCTATTGCAATGGTTGTCATTTTCACTAACTACCTGTTACATATTTAAACCACTGTTTACCTAAAACTCCAAATGCTTAAACAGCCTAAAATTCCTAGTGGCAAGTAGTCACCTAGTCAAGACGACATAGACAAGGAGTAGGTAAACAGACGCAGGAGATTGTAAGTTTCTAATGTGCTTTTTCAATAAACTTGGATACATTTTCGAGTTTGACTAACCACACCTAAGGAAAAAAAGGAAAATTATTTGGCACTGATACCGCATGCCGTCTGGATGTATTGTACCTCTGATACCAGCCTTATACACATCCTGGGAAAGCACTGATAGACAAAACAATAAGCACCGAATAAATGCAATAAATACATTGCAAGAATAAAAAAGTGTAAAGGAAAAGAGTTCCTTGCCTACAGCAACTGTTCTATAGAGTCAAAATGGAGAGACATCAGAGTCCCTTTTACTCCCTCCCCCAGCTTCACGGTCTCCCTCTCTGGCTCCCTTTTCCTCTTCTCCCTCCTTTCCCCCTGCAGCCCTCCCTCCATCTCGTCTTTCTGCAGCTGTGTTCACGGAGCAACCCGCAACGCACCACTCACCTGTCGTCGTTTTGCCATCCTTGGTCCCCTAGCAGCAAATCTCGAAACCTGTACCTGGGAGGCAGAGGGGGCACTTCGCTCTCCAAATCAACCATCCTCCCTCACAGAGTGGGGAACATCAAACAAGGAATGGAGGAGCGGAGAGAGAGAATACAGAAAATACTGCGGGGTAGAGGCAGAGAACTCACGAAATGCGGCGGCCGAGGGAGCGGCGGGGGAAGGGGAAGGGGCCTGGGCTGGGGGAGGGGTCGGCGAGGAGCCGGAAGCTGAGCTCGAAGGGGCCGGCTCCTCTCTCCTCGGGTGCGATGGGGATGATGCAAACCGAGCCCGGGAGCAAAAGTCTGGCTCCGACAAGAATCAACGCTGCCAAGGAACCGCCCCCAGGCTCGGCACCGCCTCTGGTACCCAGGACTGGGGGGAGGCGGGAATAAAAAGTTACTTCGCGGAAAAAAACTCGAGGTGCCCAGAAAGAGGGGGGGGGAGTGAGCGCCGCGTGACGGCCAAGCACTTTCCTAAAAGGCAGGTAAAAGACCCTCCCCTCAGGGCTGCCTCGCGGCTGCAGTCACCTCAGGCGCTGCCCGGGGCCGGCGTGAGTGGGGGGCGGTGGGTTTCGTCGCTGCCGACGCGTCTCTCCCCGCAGTCGCCCTTCGGCGCCGTAAAAGAGGCCCAGCCAATGAGACTCCCCCTCATTAGCATAACGCAGTGACGGCATGGGGGTGCCTTGGGGACAACCAATGGGGGCGAGCTAATTAGCTGGTTCCCAGGCTCCAGACCCTTCTCTGGGAGGAGGGGGCCGCAGATCGCTCGGAGCGTTCCGGGGTGTCTCCCGCTCCTTCGCTGTGGACGCCTTCAGGTTGGGTGGGCGGGGTGAAAAAGTACACGTTTCTGGAGAGGGAATCCCCTGCTCTCAGCCCCAGGAAAGCCCCATTTTTTTCTCACAGTCTCAAGGAAAGGAGGTATTTTCCCTGAACTGAGGAGAAAACGAAGGGCCCCGTTGGGCGGCTAAAGAGAAACACTGAGGTGATGACTGGGAAGGCACGTGGAAACGCGCTGAGGGTTACCTCGTAGTAAGTTGCCGTTACTGCTGCTGCGGCTCCTGGCGGCGTCGTGGGCTTCCGGGCGGCCTGGCCGCAGCCTCCGGTTCGCTGTGGCCGCTTCACACCGCGGGAACCGCGGCGGCCTGAACCCTGCCGCGAGCTCTGGCTCCACGTGCGCAGCGCGTTCTTTCCGTCGGGAACTGGCTTCCCGCGGTGCGCACCGACAGGTGCTCGCCGCCCCCGCCTTACTGCGGGATCTCATAGTTTTCGTAAAGGAGCAAACTTGTTTAAAAAAAAAAAAAAAGATACAATGTGAGAGACAATAATCAAAGACCATATAATAAGATTTGGAAGCACCTGTGAGGTAAACACACATTTATGGGGGGATCGCGGAAGACGTCGAAACTGAACTAAACCTTCTCTGTTCGTTTGCAACCTGCTCGAGGGAAGGGAAGAAATAGGAAGCAAGCAGAGAGAAGACAAGCAGAGACAAGGCGGTTTTTTACAGATGCGTGGCTATGCAGAAAATAGTGGCATGGTTAATTTTCAGTAGAGGTCAGGTAGCCAACGGTTTATAAAGAAAGTTAGAAATGTAGGAAGAGGTCAGCAGAAAGGGCAATATCAACTAAGACAGGATGAGCATCTAAATCTGAAGAATAATAGTTGCAGTAGAATAATCATCCCCTTTGTCTCTATCTTCAAAATCCTACCCATTCTTCCCAGCCCATCCCAAATGACATGTCCTCCATGAGGTGCCCTGATTCTCCCAGCTGTTTATGATGCCTTTTCTTTGAACCCCTTCCCTGGGAACCCTTCAGACCCCTGGCGAGTACCTCGCTTCTAATGCTTCTTATATTCTGACTTGCTGTATGATCACGGGTGCATTTTTCTTACGTCTCTTCCCCTCTCCCTGTGGCTTATCTTTCTACCACAGTACCTTCTAAATAGCCAAATGTCAACAGATACGTGTTGAGATGCCTTAAATGCTATTAAACCTGGGAAATTGACATTTTTCCACATTTACTTTTGCTCCAGAGTTATGTGTTTATGAAATCATTATTTAGCATGAACTCTTATAATCACCTTGCCAAATGAGAAAGTTTTATTACTACATTATTTGTGCAGATAGAAAGAGAGAGAGAAAGGGGGCTGGGAGAGAAAGAGAGAGAAGGAATATCCGGTTTATATTTTAGATCTGATCATCTATTAACATGGTTCTAAGAAGTTCCAGGTTAATATTTATACCATTATAGCCTGCCTGTTTATATTTGGATGACTGAAAAATCTGAAATATTTGCACATCATTAACAGACTAAAAAACCAGACACTAAAAAAAGAATAAAATAGCTATTGATTGTTAGGCTCTTGAAATGCTGGCGGTTAGAGGGGAAAGCAACAACATTTTGCTTAAAAGAAAGTTGTGCGCCTTTATTTACAGCTTTGTGACGATCTTAGTCATTTGGCTTCCGAGTGCCCAGACAACAGTTCAGAGGGCTAGGAGTAGATTAAAAGGAAAAAAAATTAATAAATAAGTAAAACTCTGCTCGGCTTATGGTGTCACAGCCTAGCTATTAAGGATACAAATGGTACGATGTTCCCTAAAGTGCTAAGCCAAAGCAGTTGGAAACCACTGCATTGATGATACACTGATTTTCTGTGTGCCTTAAAATTGGTGACAAAGTAAAAAATCTTAAAATTCTAAATTTAAGAAAATTAGAAGAATAATGAAATATAAGCAACGTTTTTCTGATACTTTTAAAATTAGCAATATTTGGGCATTGACGCTTACATTTATAATTGGTAGATGCTTTTGCTCTCCTTTATATTTTTTTTCCAGTTTTCTGCAGGTAGACTTTTTTTGTCATTAATTTGGACTTCTAGTTCTCCCACCTATCTTTCTACACTTTTTTTCTTGTCATGTCATGTCACTCCTGCTGTTAAAATATATTTTCCTCTTTCACGCTTTTTACCCTGGTTTCCTTTTTTCATTGAGCTCTTTTAATCTCCTATCTCATAGAGTCTTTTTCTCCCTGTATGTGCGAAAGCTTTTATTCTACTATAACATGAAATTCAATTTTTGGAAACAATTTTAAACTTGGTTTTAAACATTACAATTTTGTACCTTACTCACTGGTATTCTTAAATCCCCTAATCAACATCTTGTATACATTAGAGAAAGAGAGATTGCCCCATAATAACAAAAAGGTACTTTCCAAAATCTCCTGAATGATTATGCTTATGAGGTAGAGAGTAAGTGTTAAAAATGAGAAGTAAGGAGAATGATTCCTTAGTTTTAGAAATTTTATTATTTTTTTATTTTCTAGAAACACATTTGAGAATAACTAATTTCTTTTTTAATAGAAAAAAATTCCTTTTTAAAAAATTTCTGATTTCCCTTACACTGATTGATTATACTAGTGTTTTAACATAAAAAGAAAAGATTCATTCCCATGGATGAAGAATAATTTTATTAACAATTAACAAGTTACTGATACTTATCTTGTGAATACTGAACAGAGTTGCAATCATAGAATAGGATAGGGATTTTTTACCCAAAACTCAAAAGTATGTGTATATCACATATATTATTTTTTTGACAAAATTCCTCAAATTGTCAATGATTATGCAGCCGTGTAACTACTATTTAAAAATGATATTTAAAAAGAAAAAACTTTCTATATGTTAGAAAGCATCACTTCATAGATGCTTCATCTGTGTAGGCAAATGATATGATAATCCACATCCATTCAGACAGCAACACAGTGTAAAGGCGGATGTGTGTTCTATTGTTTTTTTTTAATAGAAATTTATTAAGTGGTTACTATGAATTGAACTCATAGTCTAATGTGTGAGGGAGAGTATGTGCAGGAGGACTGACGATCCGGAAGTTACACTAAAATGCGGTAGGTCTCAATAGTGATTAGTACTGGCTGCTTTTTTGCTAAGGAGCACATAGAGACACATAATTCCAGTTTTGCAAAATCAGGGAAGGCTTTATGGAAAGGCTGATATCTATGTTCAAGAAGAAAAATGAGTGTGTGAATAAGGTGGAGGCAAAAGCAAATAAAGTATACAGGTACAAATAATAGCTAAAGCATAGAGGATTTCAGCTAATGAAAAAGTATCATGGACTTTGAGCTGGGGTGTGTATTTAGGTGGGGAGGGGGCACAGAGGGAGGGAAAAAATGCCAAGAAGATTGGCACTTTTATTTATTAAGGACTGTATCTGAGGAGGCTTGTATACCACAACAACAAATTTGGGTTTTATCTTAAAGACAATGATGACTCTCTTGAGGAATTTAAGCAGGTAAGTGACAAAGCCCAATCCATGCTTTAGAAAGCTCACAGTGTAGATAATTCATTGGTGGGGAGGAAAAGAATGAAAGAAGGGAGACCATTTATGAGCTATACAGTATTTTAGGGGAGGTATGCCAATAGTCTGAAATGAGACAGTGGTTACAAGGCAGATGAAAAGCAGAGGACAGACTTACAGAAATTAAGAAGACTGGACTTAATAACTGAGAGATTATGAAAGTTAATGGAGAGGGAAGAATCAATGATACTTTCCAGGCTGGGATGAGTAAGTAGGTGGAGAATATTACTGTTGGATGAGATGGGAATACAGAAGTAGATTTGAATGAGAAAATGATTTTGCTTTGAGCCATCTGCAAAAGAGAATTCTAGAAGGTTTGAATATATAGGTCTGAATATCAGAAGCAAATACTTGTCCAAAGGTATAAAACTGGAAATCATTAATATATAAGTGGCAGTTGAAACTGAAGAAGGATAAAAGCATCTGACACTTACACTGGGAGAGAACAAGAGAGCAGAGACTGAGCCCATGAAGACGACTTGGGGAGGAAGATGAATCAGAGAGGCGGGAATAAAGCCAAGCGGGAATTCGGGAATTCAACTTCTACTGCCAGAGCAGGTAGGCATGGGTTTCTCTATTTTCTTGATTAGTTTTATTCTTGACTGTTGATTCAAGCTTAAATAGATTCTAACTTCAGAAATAAAAATGTAACAAAACCTATCCTATATTCTAAGCATGTCTAGTTACATGAGCAAAATCGTTTTTATTTCAACACCACTGAAAAGAGGAAGCAGTAAAGAGAAAATGAAAAAGCAGAGTATCACATTCAATTCACAAATTTCACCCGAAAGCATAGATAGGTAAAT